TCATCTAAAGTTGACAAAGAGGGCGTCGTCTATAAATCCACATAAGCACTTTTTTAGTAACAGAGTGGTAGAAGCTTGGAACAGATTACCGACAGATGTAGTTTCAGCACAGACTACAAACCAATTTAAAAATAGATTTGACAAATTCATGCAACAGGAAGAATGAAATATCACGCAAAAAAGATATCGGGATACAGGCCACATCAGTTGTTGCAACTGTCTGCCTGTCTTTGATAATAATAATAATAAAAAAATAAAAAGGATGTGAGGGGACTTGTGACCTATTTTTGGGGTAATTTTCAGGCTTTTTAGTTTATTTAGAACCATAAACAATTGTACAATAAATGTTTTATCAATTTGTACAGTTGAATTTGTATGTTTTAAGAATTTGCCCTGCACTAATTCTATTAAGTTGAAACATTTATTATAGTGAGGGTTCCAAATGGTTGTTACTTATTCTAACTGGGATCTTACAGGGACTTTAAGCAAGTGTATGTATGTTGCAATATTTTAAAATTTGCAACTTATATGCATAATGAATCCATACATTTGATATGCCATACTAACTATGTGTGAAACATGATTATCAACGTGAAGTTCAGTCCCATAGTATACCGTGGTCACAAATACTATTAACTTTTTCAAGTATTTTCAGACTAAGAATATAAAGAAATTTATTTATTTTAGTTTTGAAATGCTCAAATGTAACTTTTTCAAGATGCAGTATTCATCCAAACAGTCCAAGTCGCTTTGGAGACTACAACAGTCATTATTATTAATAATATTTTTAAAGATATTTAAAGGCTTCGAATTTTATTGTAATGGTTTCAAGAGCATGCCTACCAGTTTAGTCAGACTCTATTGCAAGATGTCATTTTCAGCAGTTAGCTTCAATAAAATAGGGACTATGTTGAGTGCAATAATTACCATGTCAATAAATAAAACTTAGTAATTTATAGAAAAAAATATGACAATAAATAAACCAACGTCGATTTGGACACATAATATTTTTTATTTGGACACATAATATTGGTTAGTAGAGAAAGGTTTTTACTCTATTAACGAATATTTTGCTTGCAGAGTTTAAAGTTAAGTACGAGTATATATTAATGATAAAGGTGTAGGCATATTGTTCTGACATAAAATGTATTTATCTTTTATTAGAAATTTAATGATAGCGGACATATTTAATAAATTTTTATGAAAAATAATAGTGATGTACATTTAATAATTTCATGACATATAAATTAATTGCTCTTTTTATAAATTTCTATATTCTGCGTGCCTAAAATTGGTGTAATATGTAGCGGTTATAAACTAATATTAAGATCGAATGTATTATTACCATGTTACTTGCAGAATAAAATATTTTGTATTTGTATTTGTATTGTATTCAAAATAAACATTTTCCACAGTATAAAGCTATTTTTCTTATTCTATAACAAAACTTTATGTAATTCATAGAAAAACATTAAGAAAGATAAAATAATAATTTGGGCATTACTTCAAAAATGAAGCCCTGACGGTCTTCACTGTCAGACTAACTGATCAGCTGTCAGCAGACCAATCAGGATTGGCCTAGGATTGGATGATGTATTTTTTGCTTTTAGTTATTTCTATAGTATTGCAAACCAAAGCATATGGGGTAGGTTGATTTTATGCATGCAAGAATATAAAAATTATCTATATAAGCCATTAAAATAATACTGAATAATACTCTGAATATTAAAGATAACTTTTTATAGGTTCGCAATATAATCACATGGTATTTAATAAAGATTTAATAGAGCTCTGTAAGGCAGGATCTGAACAGAGGATAGCTAATGTTAAAAGTAGCGTTTTCAATGATAAAAGTTGTAATCAATGCCAACTCCAAGTAAAAATAAAATATTTTGATATGTGATCAATAATAAAACGGAATCCTGATACAGTAAATAATTTGGAATATTATAACTAACATTACCAAAACATCTGAAAACATAACATTAATCTGTACACATTCAACGGTAGGCTCACCAGTAGATATTATGTTGAAATCTCAGTATATTTTTTAAGTTAACCTTTACAATATGAAAATTATAATAATATTCTCATGTTAGAGGTTTTACTGAGAAAAGTTGTACAGTTTTGTGGAAAAAAGAAATGTTTTTTTTTAACTTGAGTATCAATAATTACATCCTATTAGAATTGTATTTTGCATTGGTTACATTATGTATGGTACATATTGTTACATTAATACAGAGATAATTATCATACTAAATTATAAGTTCTCTAAAGGCATGTATTTCTTTATTTTTTAATTAATGGTACATAACATTTATTCTAAGAAGTTTTTGTGGTTATAAAATAATTTACAACATCCTAACAATGGCTTAGTTAACATAGAATGTGTTTTTGGCTTTATTAATAATATAACCAACCCATTTCTCCAAACCACGTGGAAAATATTAAATCATTGAAAGTTTTGATTATCATTCACCGATCTCAAATAAGAGTTAAGATCACGTTATTTGTAAACAGATGACTACAAAATATATTTTTTTAAATATCACTCACCTCTTTACGTAGATAAAAACAATGAGAAAAAAATACACTTATTTAATTAGTTTCACATAAATAATAATAATAATTGAGTCAGCGTGTAGTATCCACAACGGAATGTATTCGTGAATTAAATGAATGGCCGTGTGTGAGTTTGAATTTGAAGTTAACTGTGCGATAGAGATAAACTACGATTAAACAGAAATAGCTATATTATACGGCAACCGTGGAATGTTGATACTTTGTATGATGAAATCTTTAGTGGGTTTATTTAGATGATAAGAATGATAGTATATTAATTGTAAAGAAACGTGGTCTGCCAGGATAACAAAATAAAAATAGAGTAAAACTCGATTGATACATTTTCTGCTTAGGAGGCCTTTTTGGAAGAGTTCCAGTAAAATCGGAATAAAATAGGAAAATCGATTTTTATTAGAAGAAGTATCAGTATTAAATCGCGTTATATTTATTTTCCTTTAGAACAACATTTTGATGCATTATAAGCTTTAAATTTGTTTTATATCCTTTAACTTTTGCAGTGCGTTATTGCTATCATCTTTAGAGCTACTTCTTCTTCTTTATGTAAGTGCTGCACTCAGGTCATGGACAAATCACTCTAAATCTCTCTAAAAATGGTTATTTCTTTCGTAAAGGTGTTTTAGTTATATATTTTCTATTACTTAACTTCAGGCCTATTGTACTATTATCTAATTTTGTTAAAGTACTATTATCTAATTTTTTGGATAAAGTTATTTAAAAAGGTCATATATTTCCTAGTAATGTCGTTCCTCAAGAAGCATATCATATTAAATTTTTATCTATACGAGTTTCAAAAACAAAAAAATACCATATTAGCGATCTTTAAAATATTAAAACAAATTTGCACTGAAATAATAAACCACAAACCGATGACAAGCTACACTTCTTAACATTTTAAAAAAAAATGCAAAAGTAATGACTGTAGGTCAGTCTAACTTTTAAAATGTTAAAATAGAGTTCCAAAGGATATCTTAACTGACACTGAATTCGATATTCAAATTTGCAACACCCTAAAAAATGTAATAAATTAGAAAAGTTAACTTGAAAATAACAAAGATTTTTCAATTTTGAAGAAATCAACAAAAAATCTCAGCTAAATATTATGTTATGTATTATCAATATTGACGACTTTTTTATGTATTATTAATTGTGCATGTACAGAATACAACTTTGTTCTTATTTTTTTACTGTACTCTTAGAAAATGACATTATTCACACCCTATTAATATAACCATTGGTAGTTAACCAACATTTTTTTATATCTAATATGTTTTAATTTTTGTAGGTTATTGCATTTTTATTATGTGAGAAATAAAAACATAAAGCATTTTTAAAACGAAATAAACACAAATAAACTAAATAAAAACTTTATAATTTGCAGTATCAAGTTAGATTGTACAGTGTGTACATAACACGTTATCTAGAGTCGTGGAGTCACTTTATCCATCGTGCCGGTCGAAGCGTATATAGTAGTGCACGTGGTTATAAAAGTTATGCTACCCAACAAAACTTTATAAAAGGCCATCGCAGAGCTGCGGTATCATCGCGCGATTGTCACCCTCATATAGCACACCCTCGATCACAGAAACTGGCATCGAAAATGTCTCACCCGAAAGAAGGTAACTTTTGAGTATATTACATATTTTATTTAGTAAAACAACTGGAAGGTTAAGTAATTTTTAAAACCCGAGTGATGTTTACATATTACCACAGTGTAAAGAAAATCAACAAGCCTTAGAAAAAATAAGTCAAAATATTTATTTAATAAATGGTGTGTACTCATAATATCTTTTCAATAATAGTCACATCAATTTCATGACCTTGAATTTGCTTTGACTAGACTCATAAAGACATTAAGCTGGTTACACACTAAAAAGATCACAGTGACGTTATTTGTGAGTGTCATTGCCATTAGTTAGAGGGCGTTGCAGTTTCAGTTTTTTTTTTCGATATATAAGTTTGGTTTGTTCAATATTCCGTAGTTATTATTATTTTTATTATTACTTATCTGCTGAACCTAACACGCATTATTATTTATTTTTGTGTAAGATCTCAAACTTTTAGTCAAAAATAAGGGGTATATCCGGAATTAAATACAAAAGGTGTAAACTCGTATACACGTTCATCTTGACTTATTGCTCATTAGATAATAACATCGTTGGAACTATAAAAAGTGAGATAATCACGAAAAACCATTAAATTTTTGACTATAAATAATACAATATTCACACAAAGACGCGGGATTGATGAACATCTCTTAGAACGCCAAAATTAAACTGTATCCAAGATTTCAGCTTATCCTAAACTCTTGACTTTAATGCCAGAGTGGCAAGCACGCCAGTTTTGAATGTGTTGCTATCGCGAAGTTCCGGGTTGGTTTCTCGTTCGTGCTTTAATTACAAACTTATCTTGGGATCTGAGCAATGTATTTAATGTTGTCTTTGATACTTATTTATTTTTATCGAAATATATTTATTCGATCGAACTACGAACGTTCCAGAGGTCTTACCGTAATCCAATAATTTATCAAAGCGAGTGCCATAAATGAAATATTATATATTTTTCGTGCTGCTTTTAGTTGGTGGTTATAAACTTGGAAAACTCATTATTGAAGGCAAAACAAAACAAGTTTTCGACTTGCCAGATATCGCTGGCCATTGTCTTTTGCTAAATAAAGACAGGATTACAGCGGGAGATGGTGTCAAAGCTCATGATATGGAAGGAAAAGCAGCAATTTCGAACCAGACTAATGCTAAAGTATTTGAAATTTTAAAATCAGCAGGTATGTCTAATGTATACATCTATTATATCTATAGGTATTAATAAAGTAATAAAGAAGGACTTGATCGTTTGAATTGAGTAATAAAAATATATAAATTCAAAAGAAAATCTATCAACCTCAATGATGAATAAGATATTACATAAACAATAATTAAAGCAGATGTTGTAAAATTTATTATTACATTATTTATGGATAGCTGCCATACAAAAGTTTTATCGATTTCGAACAAACCATCCACATTGCTTCTTATCACGTAATTTATCGCTAGTTAATGAGATAACACCGGGTCACTCAAGGGCTAAATAGTATGGCCTAACTTTTTTCTAACAGACTATATCCTAACATATAATTGAAATACGGAGCAATATTAACAACATGATGTTTATATTATACAATTGCAATCGGTCATTTACGCCAATGACCTCTTTTGACAAGTCCAATAACATCGAGCAAAACAATAATGATTCAATTGTAGGTATAGTCTACAGCTCGCTTATATTAAACTGACAAATCTCTAATTGATTTTTAACCGTAGAATATGAATAGTTAAGTTGTTGGATTACTATATTTGACGTTTTGCGGTAACTTGACGTATTTTTGTGTGTAATTTCAAAATGCACAGATATTTTAAATTAACCACTTTTTATTTTTAGGTATTAAAACTGCTTTTGTCGAAATGGTGTCACCTACTGCATTCGTATCGAAAAAATGCGATATGGTTCCAATTGAATGGGTAACACGTCGATTGGCTACTGGATCATTTTTAAAAAGAAATCCTGAAGTTCCGGAAGGCTATCGATTCACTCCTCCAAAACAAGAAACTTTTTTCAAAGACGACGCTAACCATGATCCTCAGTGGTCTGAAGAACAGATTATTTCTGCAAAATTTAACGTAAACGGACTTTTAATTGGTAAGTTCAGTAATATTCTTATATTTAGATTGATAAGAGACATCACCTAACAACAATTATTTTACACAGGTCAAGATGAGGTAGATTACATGCGCAAGTGTACTATTCTGGTTTTTGAGATTCTTGAGAAAGCTTGGGCACTACGAGACTGCGCTTTAATTGATATGAAGATTGAATTTGGAGTTGATACTGAAGGTAATTTTTCAATTATTTTATCTTGTTTTCGTTGGATATTTAATTACTATACTCACTTGTTACTACTGTTTATTTTATTTTTATTTCCCAGGTAATATTTTACTTGCTGATGTCATTGACTCTGATTCATGGCGGTTATGGCCTTCTGGCGATAAGAGACTCATGGTTGACAAACAGGTAATTTTATTTCTTAATTTAAAGATTAAATATGTAATCTGAAAATTTAGATGGCTTCTTTATTTATTTATCTATCATGTAGGTCTACAGAAATCTCACTAACGTTACTGCCGCTGACTTAGATACTGTAAAACGCAACTTTGGGTGGGTGAAGGATCAGCTTGATTACTTGAAACCAACTATCCATCACAAGGTGGTTGTATTTATGGGCTCGCCTGCAGACCAAGAACATTGCCAAAAAATTGCAAAGGGTAATTAGTTGATTTTTTTTATTTTGTGATTTTTTTATTTACAATATTATGTGTATATGCGTTTTTATTCTAAATTTAATGTTTCTTTTAATGTAGCCGCACGTGATATTGGTTTAAATGTCGACCTACGAGTTACTTCTGCACATAAAGCTACTGAAGAGACGCTACATATTATGCGGCAATACGAAGACACCCATGGCGCTTTAGTATTTATTGCTGTAGCTGGCAGATCCAATGGCCTAGGGCCTGTACTTTCTGGAAATACTTCCTATCCGGTCATAAATTGTCCACCACCTTCCGATAAACTTGTTCAGGTACTAAAGTACTTTAAACTGCTTTTATTTATGTAGAATATTATAAACAGTGATAGTAAGAGAATTATGTGTCAAAATAATATGAGTATGTTTGACTACACATCCCCGTTTGAATTGCAACTTAGAAAATAATACATAGATGCTCTTACTTTGAAATATCTATTTCAGGATATCTGGTCGTCACTTTCTGTTCCATCTGGACTGGGTTGTGCCACTGTTATTTATCCAGATAGTGCCGCACTTATGGCTGCGCAAATTATAGGACTTCAAGATTATCTGGTTTGGGCTCGTATTAGAGTAAAACAGCTGGAAATGGCGACATCTTTGAGGCAAGCTGACAAAAAACTAAGAAATCTCAAAGTCTAAGTATTCAGGTTCATTCCACATTATCTCATATTGATAACAATATATTTGTCTCATTGTTTGTACAGTATTTTTATTTAGGCGCGTAAATGAACTTTACATAAAATATTTGTATATACCATGATAAGTAGTGTTTAAAAAATTTTTTTTTACAATTGTCATTCTATTATATTCTTTATCATTATCCATGGATTCAATCTCAAAATGTAACATTCCTACAAATAAACTTTTATATGTTTAAATACATGTATTATCATTTTCCTTGACAACTCGTAAGGGATACTAACTGAACAAAAACGATTTATTATATGTACAACACTTTTAGTGCATTATGGTGTGAGGAAAAATGCACTTAATCTAATAATATCATACCTTTCTGCTAGAATTCAAAAAGTAGTAATTAATGAAGCGAAATCAGCAGGGGCACCCATTACTATGGACGTACCTCAGGGATTGGTATTAAGACCATTGCTTTTTCTAATTTACATTAATGGTCTTCCTCACTTTACCGTTCTACAGTGGTTTGATAATAATAATTTAAAGCTTAATTTAAATAAAACGAAATGCATAAAGTTTGCATTACCTAATATGAGGCATGTTAGTACACTTATAAATGAAAAAGTTGAGTTGGTGGAATCGACAAAGTTCCTTGGTATTACACTAGATTCCCGACTGCAATGGGATCCTCATATTGATAACTTGTCAAGTAGACTGAGTTCTGCAGCATTTGCTGTTAAGAAAATTAGACTCTTGACTAATGTTGAAACGCCAAGATTGCTATACTATTTTAGTTATTTTCATAGTGTAATGACTTATGGTCTATTGTTGTGGGGTTCTGCGCCTAGCATTCAAGATATTTTTATTCTACAAAAGAGCTGTCCGCGCTATATATAATTTACGGTCTAGGGAATCTCTCAGACAAATATTTAAAGAAATAAATATTTTTACTGTCAATACATCTATGTAAATATTATGTACGCAAGAAAACATTACGATTCCTTCACAAAAAAAGTAGTATTTATAATCTTAACACAAGAAATAAAAATAAACTTGCCATTTCAAGCTTCAGACTACAGAAAACCAGAGGGTAATTTCTAGGTAAATGCATAGCTAGCTATGTTCAATAAAGTTCCACAAAATGTAACTGACCTACCAATAAAAAGTTTAAAATTCACGTAAAGAACATACTTATGAGTAAAGGCTATTATAAAGTTGATGATTATTTTAAGGACCGCAAGGCATGGAATTAATAGCCTTCGCTTTATTTTATAACGACTAATTATATGTACAAACCATAACCTACAGACTTTGAAAGTTGTGTTTATTATTGTGATATTACATATTATTTTGGTAATGACATGATTTTGTAAATGTCATTACTTATGATAAAAAGCTGGTAAGTTTCTTTCACTTGTTCTTCTTGTCAGCTAAAAGACATCCTGAACAAGTGGTAGGGGAAAAATTTTTTTTGGACGATTTAAAAGTGCTTGTAACAAGCTAACTTGAATAAAGACATTTTCTTCATCATCATTTCAGTGCATTTTACGCACAGTCTAAAATGGAATAATTAATCTAAAATAGTAATAAACAATTAAACTCAGTATTAGATTTGATTTTATGTACAGTCCACTGTTCGTCAGACTACACAAATCTGTCAAATTTTTTATATTGAGGTAGAGATTAAAATCCATTGCAGGATATAATCTAGTATTGTAGGATCATAAAAATGGTTTGTTGGATGAAAAGAAAATATATTATTAATCAATTAGTAGTGATTGTCACAATGGACTGTTCTAAATATTTTCGTGTAGCTTACAAATTAACTTACACCCAGATTTAATAATATCATCGTAAGAATTTACAAGGATTACCTTGTCAAGCTTTTAGTGCAGTTACGTAAGTGTATGAAATGTAATTAAATTCTATAGAATGGATCTACCTCGTTTAGACACCTGATTTCTATACGTAGGCACAAATGTAGAAGAAACAAATACATTTATTTTTATTATATAAATATTTTAAAGGCTTGCACATCAACGGACTTCGAAATTTTCTTACATATATATAGTTAAGACATAAAATAGAGAGTGTAAGAGTGTGAAGTCCTTGCGGCCTCGAATAGTGTTCTGTGATAGGGAGCCGTTTAAGTTTAGAGCTGGAATTTGAGACATGATCATACTTGCGAAGGTTAAAAATAAATTAAATACACATAATTAGATCAGTGAAGCAAACGTCAGCGTCCTAAACAAAGTCAGTGTTGTTGGGATGTCCCAACTTTACCTAAAAACATATTTTCCTTTCATAAGTTCTCATGTCGGTCTCAGTGTCATGCACAGAAAAGGAAAGTCCCACCGACTTTGCAAGCTTGGCTATGGAACTCGTTACCATTTACAGAACCTATTAGAAAAATTAGCACTTTGAGATCCATCGTCGCAGACGTAAACAGCTAGTTTTCTCCAACTTTAACTCATGCTTTCGTATACATATTTATTTTTCTAAAAACATTTTTTTTAACTTTACCTAAAAACATTTTTTCCTTTCATAAGTTCTCATGTCGGTCTCAGTGTCATGCACAGAAAAGGAAAGTCCCACCGACTTTGCAAGCTTGGCTATGGAACTCGTTACCATTTACAGAACCTATTAGAAAAATTAGCACTTTGAGATCCATCGTCGCAGACGTAAACAGCTAGCTATTTTGACTTCCAAAAAGCGTTTGATGTCGTGGATAATGACATTTTGCTTCGAAAATTGGCGGAGTTTGGATTTACACCTCATTTGTTAAAATTTTTCAGCAGTTACATGAGGGATAGACAACAATATGTGGAGTACGATGGTTGCCGGTCTGATGAATATTATGTCTGGTCAGGAGTGAGTCAGGGTAGTAATCTTGGGCCACTTCAGTTTGTGATTATGATTAATGATCTGCCGAGGGTAATTGAAAAGGCACAATGCCTTTTATTTGCTGACGACCTGAAGCTTTTCCTTCTGATAAAAAGCATGGCAGACTGTATATCATTACAAAATGATATAGACAGGGTGGTAATATGGAGTGAACAAAATAAGCTGAAGTTCAATATATCTAAATGTGTTACGATATCTTACACTCGAAAATGTAATGCTGTTTGCTATGATTACAATATAAATTCGATAACATTGAAAAGGGTGTCGGAGGTAAAGGACTTGGGAGTTCGCTTTACGGCTGACTTTAAATTTCATGCCCACATAATAAGTATTTGTAGTAAAGCGTATAAAAACTTAGGATTCGTTATTCGTAATAGTAAAGAATTTACAAATATAAAGTCAGTAATAGCATTATACAATGCACTAGTAAGAAGTCAGCTCGAGTGTAATGCTATTATTTGGGCACCTAATGAAATGAAATACAGTATGATGTTAGAACGGATTCAAAATAAATTTTTAAGATATTTGTACCTGAAAGTATACGGGATTTATCCGTTTTATCCACTTATGTATCCCACCCTGTTCGTCATTGGTATGGTCGGATACACTGAACTGAAAGTAAGAAGAGGATTGGCAATGGTAACATATATTTTTAAATTATTAAGAGGCAAAATTAGCAATGCGTTGATTCTGGGCCGGGTGGGTCTAAGTGTTCCGGATAGGTATGTGGAGCGACGGCGTCAACCAAAGTTATTTGCAGTGCCTCACGGGAGGACAAACCTGCTAAATGAAGCCCCACTGACGCGAGCTATACGGATTCTGAATAAGGTATCTGTAGAAATCGATCTTTTTGTTTGTACCCTGTGTGAATTCACTAAAGTAGCTCAATTTGTGTTATGTTATGGTGATGGGGATTAAGTATAATTGTATTTAGATAATGTGGCTACGCTGTTGTATTGGGATTACCTGTAATAATAGCGATAAGCTTGTAATAATAAATAAATAATAAATAAAGTTTTCTCCAACTTTAACTCATGCTTTCGTATACATATTTATTTTTCGGTTTAGATATATCTATTCAATATGCTTCCCTTCATGCTTCCCTTTATTATCATTATTTATCGGTTGCCTGGAAGAGATTAATGGACAGCAATAAATTTATTTTGAATTACTGTTTATCTGAAATTTTAATAGTTTGTCTTATTTACATAAATTGAAAATCACATAGAATACAACACAGTTATATTGTTTGATAGATAGATAACTTTTTTATTAGACTACTACTACCATTTCAATACAAGTAATTCTAAAATGTTCAATTGGTGTATAGATAATAGGATTGATGAGTGGGCAAAAAAGAAGTTCTATTTAGTAAAATAATAGAAAAATATTAGATACAAATTTTTTGCTTCAATTTTACAAGAACATAAAAATTTACTAGTCCTAATTCCTACAAGGTAAGTTTCAATTTCTTTATAAAAGACGCTTTACATAAAAGTCTAAGATAGGGTGATTGATATATTTATTGATCCAACATTTAGTGGTTAACCAGAAATGCCTCCATCGCATATTACAACTGTCATGTTGAAAACAAAAACCTAAAAACTTCATTAGAAAAAGTGTACACTAATCCTTATTATCTTTTTTGTTTGTTTGCCAATTTTGCTACTAGATGGCTCTCTTTTGTTTGCTTAGGTTAATTTTATGCCAACTCTACACATTAGCCAACATTGCGGCGAATGTTATGTTAAAGGAGAGGTAAACGATACCACCTCGTATCGAATAGTTTTAATATACTGCACTTAGATAAAGTACCGATACAAATACTTACTTCACTATACTACTCGTTACTAACTTCTAAAATATCGATACCAAAATACTACTTGGTACATCACGTCTCGTTTCAAAATATATTCAATTATACAAAAAATATGGCCATATCCCTCCTATATAAACAAGGAGTAGCTCGATGGTATGTTGATTAGCGTGTTTGATCGACGATCACAACGACTGGTAATAGGATGAGTAGTCAAATTTTTTTCGGAACGATTTAGGATGACCACGATGTCCCAGTACTAATTACTGGGTGAATTGATTTCATCCATTGAGAACACCTGTGCTTTAGCACCACCAATCCGCATTGGGACCTCCACGTGGGCCCAGTTAGGAATGCTGAGTGAATTGATTTCATCCATTAAGAATATCTATCTTTTAGTAGCGTTAATCCTCATTGGGACTTACGCCGTCCTTGTGCGGAATGTTGAGTGGTTGGATTTATCAATTAAGAATATATGTGCTTTAACACCGCCAATCCGTATTGAGATCTACACGCGGGCCCAGTTAGGAATGCATAGTGGATTTCATCCATTAAAAATATCTTTGTTTTAGCGCCACCAATCCGCATTGGGACCTACACTCTGGCCTAGTGAGGAATGCCAGATGGTTAGTGCGTTTGATTTGCGAATTGGATGGATGACCAAATTTTGTAACCAAGTTTTGATCAAAAATCCCATTTCTGGCCTTTGTGAACGTCGCTTATTCTTTGAAATAGAAAATCAAACCCACTAACCATTGGTATACATAGGAGAAGGGAAAAAAGCAAAAACCCACTACATCCCGCTAAGCCAAATAAAAAGTTGATTATCCATCCCATTCCTAGCCTTTGTGAATATTAAGCGATGTTCGCAAAGGATAATCATTTCCATTTCTTTTAAATAAAATATTAAAAAACTGAAATTCGCAAAGTTCGAACCTTAGATATCAAAACAAATACGATAAAGTACAAATAGAATATGTGGTGTTTATTGAGTTTTGAAAATTAATTTTTCTTTTAATTATGTAAGAAAACCGGAAGGGTTGTCATGGAGAAGGTAAGAAAGTATTATAGCCACTTCTAGTTGGATTTCGGGAACTAATGTCTTTTTTTTAAATACTTCCTCATTAATACTATCTTTTCCTAATAATTTAATATTAACGAAATTAATGTGATTATGTAATGACTTAATTTTTTAAAGAGTTACCATTAAAATACATGGTACGTATATACATACTAAGGTTGTTTTAATTTGAAAAAAATATCTACGTTATTTATTATAATGGTAAGATGAAAGAACGAGACACAGCCTCCGTCATGACTATCTCCCTTGGCTCGGATTAGCTTCTGTAAAAGAAACAATTAAAATTACACTTTAATTAATAAATTTTAAGTTTATTTTCGTAATGATAGTTTTTCAGTTATAAGTCCTGTAAATATCTATTAATAAAGCCTGAACATAAAAATAAAAAACCCGCTATAGAGGCGTACACATTCTTTTTTTTATTGTAACGCTTAGTATATAAATGCGACAATACATTACAATAGTTTATTACTTTAAGTGTTTTATTTTAAAGGTTATATTGATGACATAATAATTTATTAAATACCATGCAACCTTGGTTGTTTTACTATTTTTAACGTAGATTCATTGGTTTACTCCAATAGAACGAAGTTTTTTTTTTATTTTTCTGGTCGCGATTTAAATAATAAATCTATGCTTTAAAAAAAGTGCTTTATGAGTTATACAAGGCAATTTATAGTATGGCAACAAACCCTATGTCGTTTGTGGCAACTTTGCTCTCTCAAATGTCAAATCTATTTTTTCTGGGAAATCGTGGTCGTGCTTTGTATAGTAAAGTTAAAGATTTAAGGACTTCATTTAGATTTTTACATACACACAAGATGGCAGAGAAACCCGTTGACTACACAAATACAAATGGGACTGGGAGTAAGACTCCTTTCTTGATCGGAGTCGCCGGAGGAACAGCGAGTGGAAAGGTTTGCTACATGTTCTTTATCCCTAGAATCTATTGATTTTCCATTTTCCTATCATTATTACGTAACTAGAAATTAAATAGTTTTCGTGCTCATCTACCGTATGATATTTTTCTTTTTGTATGCACAGAAATAAGGTCTTTGTAATATTAAAAATTGTAGTCATTCCTAACCTCGCGATGCTTTACAATAAACAAGTTACTGTACTGATGCTGTTGGTCTTTATCTAATATTCAAACGCAATATTGTTATCGACAAATGCAGCATGGAGCAAAAATTACAGGTTATTAGACCGTTGATAAACTGCATAAGAATTGAATACTGTTTGTACAAAATTGGACATAGATCAATTGTATGTTGTGTTACGTTTTCATGGTAATTTACTAATGTAAATTCTAATATCATTCAGGGATTGCTACCATGTACCAAGTTCCATGACCACTGAATTACTGAACTAACAGTTACATTAAACTATATCATTCTAATAGATTGATTGATTCGGAAATCTAGTATTGATCTATTGAACATTTAGAAATGGATGATTTATTGAAATTGAATGTAAGAGAGCATAATAGTAGTTTGTGGTAGAATATGTCATGAGGGACCATGTATTAGGTTTAAATAATTGCATTGTATTTATTTTTAAAGATAAAAAATTTCATATAATTAAAAAAATATAAACTAAAGTATACATGTACAAAATTGGCATTTAGCATGTTAAGGTAGGTAGTTTGTAAAACTACATGTTCTACTTACCCGTTAAATTTCAGTTATATATATTTACCTAGATTATTTTAGTTTTGATTGATTATACCTCAACTTTTAAATACAAATAAATACCAATATTATTAGTGTAAATTACAATTCATTAGGTGTCCTTCACACTCATACTCAGCACATGGATATAGTGGATCACCTGATAGTGTGAAGCTTGAATTATTATGATTGACTGACTGTAGCAATCTGCCTTATTAAAAAATAATTACTATATCAACCTTATTTATAGTTTTATCTTACTTCACTATTATACTTATATATGCATGTATACCTTCATTTCAATACATTTTTTTCAACTAATACTTAAAAATAATGGTATTAAATGAAAAATTTAGGTATGTGATAGCTAAAATAGAAAATAATATATTTTCTACAAGAATAATATCTATACTTTAATTTCTTTGTATATTATATGTTTTCTTTATGCTAAGTTTACATATAGTGTATATGCAGGGAACTGTATGTTTATATGATGTTGTAACTGTTTGTTTCTAAATAAAATTACTGAAACAATAAAGGGTAGTATTTAGTTTAACTGTACTGATATGTGTTTGTAGAATAAGAACAATGACACTTCTATGCTCATTTTGTTACTAATCTAGAGGTCTGAATAGTACAGGAAGTAGGTATATGAGTATATGAGCTCTGAAAAATCTTTGTTAGGTTCTCTCTGTAAAATTTTAAATTATTGTTCCACAATTAATTTTACTCTGAATCCAAATTCAAGATCAAAAATGTACTATACAAATGTCAACAGTAAAAGAATTTACAGTTGTTTGTTACACATTTGACTGAATCATAATTTGGGATTCATCAACATAATATGGAACATATTAGGTTTAATGTCAGAAAGAGATGAGTATCATTGTGACTTAGCTATGGTGGCCCAGGTCTCATCGCCCCGATGAGGATACATTGTGGAGATATACCAAACAGGTGTGGGAGGGTTTTAAGTTGGCTGCTTCCATTCTGGAGCTTTCTGCCTGGAAGATGAAACTTGTCTGAATAGCATCAAAACAATGCTTACATTAAAAGCTGTTGCTAATTTAGCCATAGATTGAGCTTCCATAATTGAATTTGATAATAAAAAAGTATTCAGACAGGTTTCATGCTCCATATGTATCAACTTGGCATTTTTACCTGTAACAAACAATTGAGTCTGCTCGACAATCAGCAGCACTTAGCACATCTGTTGCATCCAGGTCTAGACTCACCCCTAGAAAAGTGACACTGTTTGTTGATCACCAAGAACATTACATAATGTCACGTCTAATTTCTTACTCTTTTTCGGAAAACCGCGATTCAAATTGTCATTAATGTTATCTTGTCTTCAGTCAACAGTATGTCAGAGGATTATGGAAAAATTGGGACAGCAACAGAAAGAGCACAACGAGAGGCGCGTGGTGTGCATCAGCCAGGACTCGTTCTACCGCACGCTGACGGCAGCCGAGAGGCTGCGTGCTGAACGCGGACAGTTCAACTTTGACCACCCTGATGCTTTCGATGACAGGCGGTTGTTGGGCGTCCTTAAAGACATTCTGGCAGGCAAGAAAGTTGAAGTGCCGGAGTACGATTACATTAATAATACTATTAAGTAAGTGTTTATAGGTCTTTCTGAATACAAGACAGGCATAAGACAAATATAACAGATACTAACAAATAGTTATATAACGCAATATGTAGCTAATTAAGCCTTATACCAGTTGAGGACTGTTAGAGCTGACCCTGTCTTAATGACGCTCGCGACAGGCACAAGGCGCGTGACTCCGTTTGTGTGCTTGTATATACATTTTAATTAGTATTTTTCAAATATATATACCATGTTATAGACGAGGGTAAAGTAAAGCCAAAATAAGAAGCAGATTTATTCGTACTTTGTTTAACTTTTCTTTGTTTAAATAACCTTTTTCAAATGCAACTATAAGTTCTAAAAACTACCACATTCAATCTAATATTAAATTCTTCTCCATCATCATTATCACCAGCCTATTGATGCCTAAAATCTGACCTTCCCTATGGATGGCATCAAATTGAATCAGGAGAATAGCTCATAACCCATTATGCAGACCCAGTGCAGATTGTTTCATGACCATGCTTTATGCTTTATGAAGCATGGAGGAGTTAGAGATAATAAATTTTTGGTCACTGATCCTCTGACTGGCCATTGCGCTAGCCACTGCGCCATCGTGCTATTCTTTCTTCTCCAACTAATTATAGTATGCAAGAGCATTTGTTAAATATTTGACTTTTGTTTATGTGTAGCCCGCACCGGTCTCATACCATCTACCCAGCAGATGTGGTGCTGATCGAAGGCATTCTGGTGTTCTACTTCCCTGAAGTGCGCGAGTTGTTTCACATGAAACTATTTGTCGATACAGACTCTGACACGAGACTGGCAAGGCGAGGTGAGTTACATTTTTACATATTTTATGTATAATTTGTGGTCATCCATAAATTACGTCAGTTTAGGAAGGGGGGGGTCGACAAACTGTGACATTAGAACAATATTTAGTTAAATTTGTATAGATAAATAGGTGACAGTGGAGGGGGGGGGGGGGGTTTAAAATCTTGAATTTAGTATGACGTAATTTATGGACGGCCCCTTTAGGATAGCATACATACATTCCATATTAAATGTAGCTTCCCGTAGGTGAAAGAATTTTTAAAATCCATTAGTTTCGGAGCCTGTTCAAACAAAATCAAAAGGGAAAACAGCAATTATAATATGTTATAAAGGGAAGTCCTCATATTACAAGCTGTTTTCCCGCGTAAATTATAGCCTATGTTAACCCCATATGATGTAGCTTACTTACATATGATGTAGCTTAGTTTTTGAGCCTATTCAGAGCAAACAAATCAAATCTTTTCTCTCTTGACAGACAGACAGACAAGCAACAAAGTAATCCTTTATTTGATCCTAAATTAAAAGGTACAGAATAGGGTATTATACTCCGTTTGAAATAATACTTGTAAATGTTAATTTCATTTTTAAAAAGCCATAAAACAAATATTGCTGTCAAATAAATACGTATTCTTGCCGTAGAATATAAATCGAAATTTAAACAATTTTTTTTAGACCCGCGAAATCGCTGTTCCTCTTATTCATGACGTCATTGTTATATGAATGAACACCAAAACAGATGCATAGAGTAGAAGATTAAAAGATGTCAATAAAACAAGAAGCCATTTGATTGCGAAATAAAAAGATATAAATAAGCTAAGGACACAATGTGTCGAAGTGTCGTGTCACACGACTGGTGTGCCTACCTATTGGCTGTTTTAGAAGCAAAATGTCTCGGTATTGCAGGATAGGAAGCCCCATTCGTAAAAAATTCAAAATTGCCATCTTAAAAGAAAGAATATTAGTTTTTACAAAATATGCATATTCCGTATTAATGTTATATTGGTTTTTGTAGTTCCCCGCGATATAATGGAGCGGGGTAGAGATTTGGAGCAGGTGCTTAATCAATACATGAACTTCGTAAAGCCAGCTTTCGAAGAGTTTTGTCTGCCGGTAAGTACTGTTCTTTTATCATTTGACTAGATAAGTGCTGCTATTCTTCATTGTTGTTAATTCATGTATTTGTTTAAATTATCTTATAAAAAAAACATAAAGTTAAAGTTCCAAATGTAAATCAACAAATTAAAAGTCGAATTGACTTTAAGATTTTTTCATTAGAAGTTGTCAAAAAATAATTTTAATGGGCTATTTTATTTAAGGAGTTTGATACAAACGTTCAAACCTCATTTAATTTTCATACCAAATGTTTTCTTTTTTTTTCATGATGAATATGTTCAAATTTGTTGTTGATCAGCAGTCTGCTTACATTTTCATTATTATAAGCTCAGCATTTTTGTATGCTCTTTTCTGTACAAATAATTCTTTAAAGGTATTTGCTCACCCTGTTGCTTATTTTACTTAAATATTGATTGAAATTTGTCATTGTCATTTTGTTTGTAGACGAAAAAATTTGCCGATGTTATCATCCCTCGCGGCGCCGATAATTTCGGTAAGTGTTCTGTTCTTTCTCTTATTTAGATATTATATTTTTTCATTATTTTTAGATCTGGTTCCGTACAAATTTTAGTACTACCGCTAATTAACTTTACAGTGATAAAGATACAAGTCGGGCGAATTAACATGATACTGTGCTACAACGACTTGTTAATATATTTCCAATGTTCTGTATCCAAGGGTAAAAAAGGGACCCTGTTACTAAGACTTCAGTACTATAAATATAAATATTTGAGGGAGCTCCCATACAAAAAAAGTGTTCCTGCGTTTTTTTTTTATATAGATTGTGGTTGCTTCGTGCGCGTGTCCGACACACACTTACCCGATTTTTTTCAATGTCAAATTATTATTGTATAAATAATAATTTGAAATAATTTAATATTTTCACACGCTCACAAAAACAACCTTGTGACGTATAGTAGGATTTCGATATCTGAAAATAGCTATCTGCATTACAAAACTAAGAAAGATGTTAATTCAAATCACTGTACAACTTTTCACATTGTTGATGCAGTACAGTGCGACAATTTCATTTTCTTGCGTATGACACATTGTTATCACCATTTATTAAGCTCGTTAATATTAATATGCTCCACATAGTAACAAAAAATATCCAAACATATAAAAAATCCATTAACAATAATCTAACAAATAACAGTAAGAAAGTAACTTTAAATTTCGAAATCGCAAAACGACATAAAAATTATGCTACCGCTACTGAACTTACTAGACGACGAGTCCTACTAGTTACGAGCCAAGTCGCTAGCGGTCAGTTGCACAAACGTCCAAGAAGGTTTAATGACGCCTTTAAGCTCCAATGAACGTCAAAATTGTATCGGTACTGTCACTTTTAACTAAGAACAATTTTAACAGACGTTTGTGCAACTGGCTGTAGGTTTTGTATTTATTTCTCTGATTTGTATTAATTTTAATCTTAAACACACAAGTCGTGGTAACGTATTTAAGGTTCAATTTACAGCGGATAAGAACTGACTTGTCACAATTTCGCAGTAAGTTACTGACCCCCAGTGACTACACTTATCATTATTATTTCTATAATATTTTATGAGCAACAAAAAGTTTTTGTTCCTTTATTTAAATGACGATTTCAATGTTTCGACTTTGCTGAATTAATTATCAAAAACAATATAAAGAAAACTAATCGCGCAAGGTCATAGCCACTGCAACGAGGTCATACCCACCGACGTTTCAATACAAATGAACGATAAGCACTTCTTGCAGCGGCTATGCTCTTACGTAGCTGCTTTGTGCCTTGATCCGTCGGCTTAGAGTCTTATTTCCGTTGTTGCAGTGGCTATTGACTTGATCGTACACCACATTTGGGATATAATGTATAAGAAGAAACCGGCGGCAGCTAGGCAGGTGAACGGGACTTGCAACGGGACACATCATGAAGTGGACGAGGGAGGTCGACGGATGTCCGGTAGCTCTGAGGATACACTCAGCCGATAGTAGTTCTAACTTGGCTGGTGCACTGCATAGACGGTCTTTACTATTTCTCTGAAAACTGACTTTTAAAACGTTCAAATAATATTGTTAAATAGTTTCTTTGCGAATAGGTTATTTGACTGTTGTTTAAATTAAGTTTAATTAATTAATTATTGTTCGATTAGACAAAAATATTGCTTTTTTTTGGAGATAAAAACTTTTTTGTCTTTGATAGATTTGTAATAGCATTTCTAATTTATACTCAATATAATTTTGAGAGAAAAAGTTTAGACCTTCACTATATGCATGTTCACTGCCGATCTTATTACCCATTAGGGTGACCATGTTTCAAATTAACCCAGGATAAGTTATAAGATATATTAAGGCATATCCCAAATAACGTTCTTTTGCACGGCAACTCGTGTTTCGTGTAATGTTAAATGATTATTATAAAGGGAAATCGGTAAAATTATCTGAAACACAGTAACTGTGACTTTTGCGATTGATTTATCGTACTTACGTAAACTATACATATTTGTTATCTGTCTTTGTTGTTTTGGTTTTAAGATGCGCCAGTTTAAACCTTTGATGGAATTTTAAATTAGATTTTCAATGCAAAATGTGTTAAAAAAAGAAAATGGCAATTGCCTAGGACAAACAGGTTCTATATTTTAGTAGGTAGGACCGAACGCCACAAAGAACGGTCCTTGCATACTTTCGCCTCATCCACTTTCATCACTTATATGTGTCAATCGCAAAAATCATAGAATAACCGATCCCTATGTACTACCGATATGATTAAAATTGACATTTAAAAATTATAACTATATTACTTATTTGTATAGTTAATGTCCCAGTTATGACTTGTCATAAGCGCGCGTGTGTAAAATATAAAAAGAGATATGGGCGTTTAAGTATATGACATGATAGTTATTTTAAAAATTGATATATATACATATTTCAAAATTAAAAAACCGTTAATTAAGACCAATATAAAATGTATATTATTACATTTATTTATAAAAAATTAATTCATAAATGTACACTCTGTTTTGTTACATTATTTTTTTTCAATTTATTGTTTACTATAGGTATATTTTTCGCATTTTATGGACTGTTAAAGTTGTCATTTTTGCTAAAAAATCATTTTGAAAGGATAATATTTATTTTACACATGCGCACACAATTCGCTACCAATCGTGTAACAACACATGTATAATGCTTTTGGTACACGGATGCGTATACAACTTAACGTAAGGCTGATATTACAAAAAAGAGTTTAGACGTAGGATGTAATAACCTTTTTATTAATGGAGACGCCATAACATATATGCATTCAGAAAGTGACGATTCAAAATAATTGTATAGGTAATTAATCTTACACATACTGCCCTGTGTCACACACAAAAACATTAGTGATTCTCTAATTTATAGGAAGGCGCTCATGTTTCGTTTCTCAGTGACGCACACACGTACACACATACTACACCAACATAGATATGTGATTCTCTATTTTATAGGAAGGCGCCCATTTCAGGTTTCTCAGCAACACAGACGCGCGCGCACACACACATATACACACACACATACACACACACACACACACACACACACACACACACCCACCCACATATACACACAAACTTGGATGAGGCCTTCATTGTTGAATGGTTTCATGGTGCCACTATCTCAAGGGCAACTGGGCGAATTTCAAACACAAAAAAGCGTGTTTACAATAACAACACATCACGTATGTTTATCCTAGTATACAATGATACGAAAACATTGATGACGCCCGTGATACAGTGACACACATATTATCTACGTCCGTTCTACAATCACATTGCGCACATTCCAGAATAACGCTCATTTAACAATAATACAACCAAACACACACACATATATCAATTACATCCTCTATATTACTATACACTATGGCCTACCATACCGGAATGCTAAGTAAGCAATTTTAGCTACAAAGTCCACTGCACAATTAAATTATTCATAGAAATATAACCTTGAAACTCCTTTTTCTAATTAATTCAAATATCACAAGCCAACCGTTCAGACAGGGTTACATTATTATACTTAATATGTTATTGATAATGTGTATATACTTGTGTGCATGCACAATAATTTCATAACCATATATCTTTAGGTAACTAATTAATCAATTAACTTACTGCTTTTCAAGTAACAAGAAACATTATTTTAATATGAAGCTTGACTTTATCAAAAATGTCCAAGAATTTTAATTCATATTAGATAAAATACTAGAGACTATAATGTGATACAAATCAATTCCCCTTGATGTGTTTTTAATTTTGAGTTAATATTATTTATGTGATTTATAAAAATTACTCCACCTCACAAGACTTACGAGTACTTTATAATGACGCACAAAACTATATAATTATTATATCATTTGTTTTTTGTTACTATGTATGAGGTTAATTTTATGGAAGGAAATGACATGAGCGGAATTTGTGTAGAACTGTGGCCAAAAAAAAATTAGCACATTGACATACTGTCAGTGTTATATTAAAGCTTAAAAGTATAACTTTGCAATATCACAAAATATATATCTGAAAAAAAAGCGTGAAGCACCGTTACAATGTTGCAAAAAATATTACTTCAATATTTTAATTGACTAGATATTTTAAAAAGTAAAAATATGTCTAGGTGTAATTATATGATGTAAAATACGCCAGATGTGAAAAAATACTCTAAAATGCACGACATATGTATGTATAAAGTTAAATCATTACAAAATATCAAAGAGAAAACAAAATATGTACCCATAGAGAATATCCAATGTTACTCCACTCACATAGAACAAAACGTTGTTTATTGCACGGATCTGGAAATCGACATATTTAATTCCTTTTTGTGATTATTATAAAATCATTAAATTTTTCATTTACCACAACAATACGATTCGGATAGCTGTATTTTTCTATTTAATCTAAAGTTCATTACCAAGTACTAGTTGTGTTTAAATGTGCGTGTATTTAAACGCAAATTAATTGTGTATTTTGCGATCGTACTACTTTATCTTTTGCGTAATTGCAACACCAAAAATTATATCACCTCTAAGAAATATCTTGTTAAATAAAAGTACTATTTTTTATTGCATATTTCAGTCGCATCTTCTAGAGAATTGTGATCGGCGCCATATATTTAAAATGTAATTTTTACAAATTAATAATAAATGTACATTTTGATTGGTTCTTTGGGCTGGATCCGGTCATGTCCTTAAAACAGCAATTTGTAAACTCCATTTTATTAGTGAAAAGGATAAACAAAAACATATTTAAATTTTGTGATTTTAGTGGAAATATAAAATATGTATGTAACCTTTAAAAGTATCAGAAACAAGAACCAAAACGGTTTATAAAACTTAACATAAATCATAAAGGCGACTATCCTTTTTGTAACAGTTCTTTTTTTTTTGTAAAAGATGCACTATACTTTCATCGGTTCCAAAGTCAATTTAGAAGATTCAACATCTTCTTCTAACTTAAGATATATCAAAACCCACAGTGATTTGATATTATGTAATATTAAATCATGTATATCACTCGACAAAATGAAATACGAAACATATTATTGTTATTGTACGTTTGAACTATTAGTGTATCATAAATAGAACATATCGACGCAAACACGTAGTAAACCGCAAAACCAAAATTATTCTTTTTTGGAAAAATATAAAGATTTTCCACTCGAAATATCCATTTTGGTTTTGTAGGTTACTACGTGTTTGCTTTCCAGCGTCGATATAGAAGTTCTTCCAATAAATAAAAAAAAAAATCGAAATCCATTTTGTAACACTGACCGACTGAATACGATTGATCTAAATGAAAAGACTTATCTATACAATATCCATAGAAATAGTGTGTGTAATTTGCTTAACTAAATTTTAAGTCGATAGTCTGTATTCCAATTAATTTGATGTGATAAAATGGAAATAGATCGTAATAAAAAGTCTACGTAGTAAAATGTTATAGGGAGTATAATATATTGTTCGCAGGTTTCGCTATTATGTTAAAACGGGACAGATATATACTGATATGTTATTACTATATAGTATAGTATTTTTGCATTGTTTTAGTTGTGCGGTAAGGTAGGGTTACAATAAACAACATTATATTTAATCAATTAAAATCCAGTTTGTCCCTGGCACTCTGAGATGGGAGATTAATGGGTCCCAAAGTGGATTTTTAAGCATTATTAAAAACTTGCATTTTTTGAATTGTAACTGTATGTTACAAAATTTAATTACTAAAGTGCAACTGCCGTTTAGTGTACCTTATTGGGTTTTCCAGCATTTTTTAAATAACATCTCATACCGGTAATAATGAAGTTGGTTCGATAGGCAACCTTTCAATGTGGAAATGCCTTAATGGTTTAAGCCCCTTACTCATTAGCGAACATTTATAGTTCGCTAATGAGTAAGGGGCTTAAAAATACAAAATAGTGGATTGTTGCAGATAAATACATATTTCTTATAAGGTGTTCCTTAATATGGCTTTATTATCATTCTCCTTAAAGATTGTACTAACGCACGTGGTACGGTCGAATCTGACTTAGCGTACTGTCGACAGCATGCACACCAGATTAATACAAAAGGATAAAAATATCTTCATTCGATATTATCTTTAATTTTACAGATATACAGTTCAAATTTCAAAACTTGATTTCCGCCACCGCAGAAATGTACAAATACCATAAATTGTGTTTTGTGACATGTTTCTATTTTCTAATTACATTTCATTCCTTGATGACGTCATTCTGTATTTTTGTGACTTTGAAAATGTACCTCCATTGTTTTATTAATGTATATTACCTAAGTTTATATATTAACAAACAATTATACAACGTATTAATTATACGATTAACCCAAAATGTAATTCCTAATATAATATTGTGATACGAGTATTTTAGGCATACCCTTTACTTTTAAGTCTCTTGAATAAACTTAAGCATTTGATTATATCTCTTATGGGTTCCTCTTTAAGGCACAAAAACTTATATATTTTTTTTGTGCTGCGCAAGAGTATGAATGTGTAAATTACTCTTGATTTATTTAATGTTAATAAAGTGTTTGCAATTCAAAACTATGCGTTTTAATTAATCAATATCT